GTGTGGCGGTCCAGCTCCAATTCCCGCCACGACCAGCTGCTTCACGACCTCACACTTGGAACGTCACTGAACACGCTGGACAGCTTGGAAATCCTCCTGCTGCTGGTCAAGGTCATTCAAGACCTCCCCGGGCTCAGCGATAGCACCCTCCTCCTCTTCTTCTTCCTCCTTCTCCTCCTCTTCTTCTGAGGAGTCGAAGATACTCTGATATGAGTGTCGAGTCTCCTTCTCCTCGCGGAGTGGAGACTTAGAAGCTGTACGCTTCTTTGAGGGCTTGGCGCCTTCGGCTTTAGAGGCCTTAGCACGCGCAAGACCCTCGGCAAGCGAGAGACGTTTGCGAGGATTCTCATCCTCATCGCCATCGGCTTTGGGAGAGCACTTAGCCTTGACGGCCGGACTCTCCGAGCGCACAGACGGTCTGGGACTGTGATCACCTTGATCACTAGCGAGCGACTGCACGCTGTCATCCTTGTGCTCACTGGGGCACTGGGCTATGCCCTCCCACAGAGCCCGCAGGAGCATCGTGCGTGCTCTCGGACTCGGCATCGTCCTCACTGCCAGAGTTGAACTCACGTTCCACGAACCGAGGGTTCGGACGATTGTCCGAGGCCGAAGGCGACGGACTGCGGCGCTTGCTTGTTCGCTTGGCCACAGTCGCGTCACCCGAGGAACTGATCGCCTCGGAGGCCACCTGAGTAGCCTCCTTGAGTGCCGAGCCTTTGCCGTGAGGCTTAGTGCTCTTGGCTTGCGCCTTACCGGCCGCAGCCTTGGAGCGTGTCTTAGCACCGCTCTCTGCAGTGCCACGAGGCATGGTAACGGTCGAAACGGAGACCTAGACGAAGAGCGCACAGGATGCTGCTCGAGGCTCCAACTGTGAAATGAGCCTCCGCCGCGCTCGCGCGGCCAAGTCAATAGTTTTCGACTTTGAGAATGAGAGTTTTTGACGAACACTTCTGATTGGTCGGTAAACAGAAACTAAGTGGGGGAGGATGTAACGGGGCACGTAGCCCTAAGTGTGCCCTGGTTACATGAAGTGTGACACTTCACACTTCAGGTGTATGACACGTCATACTCCGGGATATTTAATACAAGGTACCAAGGCCAAGGTCGTTCAAAACCAACCATTGGTCAAACGACAGTGCATTTCTATAGGTAACTTATAGTTTGTATTAAACCCAAACTTAAACTACCTTTAAATATACTCAGTTTACAATCTACCTTATTTAGGTCACTTCGCTCTCTTTAAATAAAGAGGGGACCTGTGAACTGCCATTCACGGAGAGTTTGTATACTCTTGGAAGATAACTTCCTCTAGCGCAAGGTGCTGTGTGACCCCGTCACAGGAAAGATAGCTTTATAAAAAAAACGTTTTACCTGTTATTTATTTGTTAAAAATCTCAAAAATCGGCCTGTTACTCCTCATTTCAACGCTACCTCATATGTGTCAATTGGAATATTAGATGGCGAGTTATCGCAGATTTAGTAAAATCACTAAATCGAGGCTACTAAACTGACACTTTGCCGTAGCAGAGCTAACGAAAATCATCTCACACTTTGAGCATTGATACTTAGACTGGAGCTTATCAATGTTCTTGATGTACAATGCATGGCTCTCATGGGAAAGGATATCCATAGATACCCCCTCTCTCTCCGAGCGACGGGTACACTCAGCTTTACATCCATAGAGTAGACGCTAATAGCTAACAACGAGCTGTAGGAGATCAATCGGTTTGAAGCCACGGAGCAGGCTAAGCGTAAAGCTGATACCCTTATGAGCAGTATCTCTTAAAAACTTCCTTAACATGAGCCTGGATCCGACGAGGATCATTATTAGCATGCTGATTCAAGTTCCACGCGATACAGGGAAACACACACTTGTTTGTTGGTCTTGGGGAAGTTGATTACGTACTTGTTGTCGCGTATAATCTTAGGGATAACACCTTCACTATCACCAAGTGCATGCCCACGGAAGTATATGTAAATCTTAAACCCAGTAATCGCCTTCAGCTTATAGCCCGATTTGGGATAGTTAAGCGTATTAGCCAGCTCCATTGACCTTATCTTTGAGATAATTTTCTTAAGGATGTCAGATCGCCTGTTGAGGGTCTCAAATACGTAAGTGGTAGCCAGATTCGGGTGCCAGTACTGGGTAAAATTGCCATCCGTTAGACTTATGAGATCGTACCCAAGAGCAATGTTTACCTTGAAGGCGTTAGTCTGGGTAGCAAGCACGTTCTCGAGCTTGTCATAGAACTCAGCAGTCTGGATACCTTCATACAGATGGGACTCCATGTGCTTGCCGTTGTAAAAACGATACTTGGGATCCTTGTTATAGTCCGGGGAAATGTGCTTCTTCTAGGTCTCGACGGAGATCTTGTACTGCCTCGCAAATAGCTTCTGAGGGAAACGTTGCTAACATAAGCCTCTTACATGTACCAGTTCTACCACGCACCTTAACGCGGTAAGGTACTACCCCAGCAAATGGCATCAATATTTAATACCTTCGAGCTCACATTGCCTGTATACTCTTGTCTCTACCATTCCTGTGGAAATGACTTTATAATTTTTGGATCTTGTATCAGGATCGACTTTATATCTAACCCCTATACAACAAATTTCAAAATTAATTAATTAAAATACTTTGTGTACGATCTGTCGAGCGTTTGCAAAACCAGCGATAATATTTTGAATCGTGAGACTTGATCCAATTGAACGTCTTATCAATGTACTTGATTTTGATTCCAATAACCGTTCTTGGGAGTAAATTAAGTGCCAAATCCTGCCTGGAGGCCTCAGATACGATATCACACTTAAATAGGAGGTGGGTATAGGAGTCATCCACTCCCACTAACGACTCTGGCTTTCGATTTCTGTTCTTGCCAAATTCTAGCTTCGTCTCGCTTAAAGAAGTAAGACCGCGGTCTCGACAATCCTTACAATATTTGTAGAAACCCCTGTACCGGCGTTGGCAGCCGAGGCACACCTTATAGTGCCCACCAAAAAGCTTAAGACACTCTGAACCAACGAAGTGATGATTCTCATCCTCGTCAATGATAAGGAAGTGTCGCTTGAAAGGGGTGTTTTAATAACACCGCGGGTTAGCATTAGGTCGATAGCCAGGGCACGGAAAACTTGCGTTTTACCCAAAGCCATCCATTTACCCTTGTCCTTTGCCGCATCACCCAGACGGGCTAAGGTCGCCGAGGGCATCCTTCAAAATCGTCAGCGTGGTGGCGTCAATCAGTGTCTGTCTATATGTGGCTTGACTTTCTATGTGGTCAAAAAAAAATACTTTGAAGTAATTAATTAGCCAAGTTCAATTTCTGTCTTAAGTTCGGCTTCGTTGCTGTTAAATTCGTGTTTCGGTTTTCGCTTGCGTGTACGAATTTGGTCCCTATTTTTGTCGTCATACCATTTTTGATAGGTTAGACGAGCTTCGCGTGAGCGCTGGTAGTAGCGCTTCTGCGCTGCTTTGATGCGCTCTTTG